TTTAGCTTTGTTTATACTTTGTAGTTTGCACTCCTAGTCAAATTCAAACATGGCGGATTTATAAGGGCACGCATGAGAAAAAGTGGAGACATGATTCGTGATCAAGTACGCATTCTATATCTATTATTTCTATGGTGTATATCCACACCGGGCAGGCTTGAAAAATATGCCTGGCCACAGGCACAGTGGGAATCGAACCTACAACCTTTGGAATACTAGCCCAATGCTCTGCCAACTGAGCTACGCGGTCAGGTCGGTTCGAGTATGCGATATTTCGGAATTGAGTCTACACTGTAGTTCCTTCAATATCAGTGTAATCGAAGGAACTAGACTCAGTTCCGAAATATCACATACTCGAACCGACCTGACCGCGTAGCTCAGTTGGCAGAGCATTGGGCTAGTATTCCAAAGGTCGTAGGTTCGATTCCCACCATGGCCAGGCATATTTTTCAAGCCTGTCCGGTGTGGATATACACTCAGAGTAACATCACAAGCATCTTATTCACCTGAGTACATTACACCAAGATAGCAAATATCATTTTTATATTTATCATTTACATTGTTATGTTACTGATCTTTGGAGTTACACTTGTTTTGTATTTTTTTAAAATACTCAGTGGTTCTAAATTTTTTTGGTTTACTTAAAGCTTTTATATGATCATTGTTTTTATTGCATTCATTGCAATATTATCAAATATCACGATAATTTCCTAGACACCAATCATATGATTTTGAAATATCACCCAACTATCCTACATTCAACAACTAATATAACTGAGCTGTCCTGTAATAAATTGAAAACATGTGCAGATGATAAGCCGAAAATACTAACCACATCTTTCCATTAAGATACGAAAATGGCACTTCGGATGCATCTTCTGGAGAACAAGGTAGGTCTCCAAAAAATTTGGATGATTTGATGTCTGTTCAAAGACATATTTTTCGTCATCTTCTACTTTATCAGTCTAAACATATTGACACAGCTTCAGTAAATGCAATCTGACAAATGGCCCATAGATATGTAACTGTGAGTTTCACTACACACTATCATACTAGAGAGTGATTTAATTCTTTCCATGATATGTTGTAGTTCTGTAATACACCCTTAATTACATCATTTGGCCTGGGAGCCTCGCTCCCATGCATCGTGAGCCAATGGTGATTGCATAATTTACTAATGAGAGCGAGGCTCCAGGACCAAAAAGTATGTGTGACATAACTATAGAAAGGGTGTAATGAAGGCAAGGAGTTCGCAATAGATGGTCTATTTTAATTATTGTACTACCGTCGCTTGCAATTATGGATGAACGATTGTTGATGAAAACATTGCCTATTTGTGTGTGTAGCCTGTGTACAGCCGTAAATTCTGCCATTCTACAAGAGATTCATTTACAGCTGTACATAAGCTAATTCGTGTGAGAATCTTCAATGTTAGTCAAGAGCACTTGACAGGTTTAATCTGATCAGCCAATCATGCATGTCCCACCAGCTCCAAGCTGATTGGCTGAGCAAATTAAAACCATCACAAACATTGAACTTTGTCATAAGAATGGACAATGTTTTATCTGCAACAGTTCATCGTTAATTTTAAGCGACGGTATTGTGTTATTGCTCAATGTAGTTATGAGAGGAAGAAAATAATATAATTCTTTTCTACATAAAATCTATACGATTTATCTTGAAAAAACTGTGCCAATGCTGCTATTTTTGAAAACAATATGAACTTCGAAACTTTCTTAGAAAATATATAGGGATTCTCACAGGATTGAGGCTTGGCATGTATGCATGTCTGTTCAATGCAAAATTCCCATGGAATATACTAATCTTTAAATTTGGATACCAGATTCAAAAGTTTGCATTGTACCACTCTTGGATACTGCTAAAAATATCTATATCATGCCAAGGCATGAAACACCACCTTCTACCATAATGAAAACCAACAGCAAGGTATCAAGTTCAATACTCACTTTTTTCGCAACAAAATCTCTACATGATGAGTTCAAATATTTTTTCTTCACATCATCAGATATTTCCACATTGTGGACAGCTCCATGGCCACCTTCCCCAATGACATCCAAGAATGCATAGTGTTTGTCTTCTTTAAAATGAGTGACATTGTGTGGAAAACTTTCATTCTAGAGCAATCAGCAAAATAAATATTGATTGATAACAGTTGTGGGTGTGGTCAAGGTGTGATCACAATAGTGAGTTATGCACCCATATATGGTGTACGGTGATATGTTGGCTTTTTAACCACTCTACTGTAGGGTTTGACATTGGAATTTTTTCCTGGTATCCAAGTTCTCAAAATATATGTATTTTGAAAATTTGGATATTTTTCGATGTACTATATTATTTTTTTTTCAAAAGTTCACTAAAACTGTGAAAGGTTTGCACCATCACTATGTTAACAGCAACATCAAACTATTTTATACTCTTTTATTTGATAAAATGCACAACCCAATTAATTAGACAGTGAAGTCACATACCCTCCAAACAATCAAATCATCTGGATCAAGACTTGGTGTCTGATGAACAATCACAGGGGCTGCAGGAGCTGGGCTTGGTATGCCCTTGGCCCTGAAAGCAAAATAATGAATGACCAAGTAAGAACATTTCTACAGGAGTGGGGGGAGTAGCATGTTCTGAAACAGTAATTTTTTTCAACCATGAAAACAATGGTATGGTAAAAATTATGCTATTGTGTCAAATTTAAGGCAAAAAAGTGGTAAAATGTACATACTTTTCACAAACAATGCAACCTTTAAGTTTGCAGATCTCAGTATGATATTTCAGCACACACAACCACACTTTGCACTTGTGACATCTACATGTACCATTTGTTTCTTCAAAATGGTGTTGGATCAAAATTTCAACCTGCAAAAGTTTATTTTGGAATAAAATAATAATCATAGAGAGGGATGTACCGGTAGTTCAATTTTTCTTGCTCAATAATATGCAACACTTAAATACGATTGCCATCGACTTTTTGTAACGTTCAAATATTTTCACAAATTTACTGAAGGATTTTAATACCTACCCTATGGCATCTAACACAGGGTCTTTTACCACAGTAGTTGTAATGGTTAATACAACCATTTAATATCATGAGAAGCTCCTGAGTTAGTACAGACTCTTGTTGCTGAGCCTGTTCAGGCTGGACATGGATTGTATGCTCCTGCAGTTGGTCTGATACCACCTACCATAAAGTAAAACAAAGTCATTTGAAACTGGTAGGTAAATTAACTAATAACAAAGAATTTTAAATTGACCAATAGTATTATTATTTTCAATGATGACATTCCAGCCTTTCAGATCAAAGGCTTTGCTATTAAAAAGATGTGGAATTTTATACCAAACAAAGCTTTTTTTCGGATACCCACCTCTACGTCACTTGTGTCTTCAGGTGTGCTGTCACGACTCACGTCCATAGCACTTGACAATACAGGGTCAACATCCATTTCACTGGAAGTTTTCTTCTTCTTCTTGGGCTTCTGCTTGCCCGCATTGCTGCATTGCTCAACCTCTGGAGGCTTTTTTGGTGGCTTCCCCTCACCATCATCTCCATCATCGCCACCACCACCACCACCCCTGTGTGCTCGAACATGAGAACAACACACCTTACTGTTACCAGTGGGAGGGCTAGGAGTCTGCTGTGTAGTAACACAAGCACCATTCGTTCCAGCTTTCTGTTTACCACCAACGGCGGTCTTTTTACAGTTTTTGTATGCAATCCCATGCGTGTTATTTATGATTGCGGTGGCTCCACCAAACTCAAATGAATGCTCAACATCTGTAAAACTGTCCTTCATGCTTTCGTTTATAGATGCCATAGAATCATCTGTCTTATGTTTTTTGTGGATCTTTTTCTTAGAGCCAGCAGCTTTTTTCTTCTTTCTTTTCTTTCCTTTGCCGGTAGATCTCCATGTCCGACCTTTGGTTGTGGAGCTTTGGTTGATAGGCTCAGGTTGGGAACGTTTGGAGGCTGTATCAACCCCACAAAGGCTTTCAATGTCTGTATTAGGCAGGTATAGATCAAACAGGGTCCCTTAAAATAAATATACATAGTTGATATATATGTAACAAATGTTTTGTTATTGCAGTTAATTAGTAGATTGAAGAGTTCTCAACACAAAAATTTGTAGAGCAGTACTTGAAATTTTGGTATTTATCGACTATATCGATATTACCGCAACAGCCTAGTTGCAAATAAAAATCGCTGTTTGCTTAAACATTTTAAAAATTTTCACCCCCCAAATTCCAAAAGGAAATTACACAGCTCAGACTGGAAGCATTGGCTGTAAAAATGTCATACGTCAGAACCACACTTTGCCTTTTCGAAGCTTGAAAATTCAACTCAGCAAGAAAATGCTGTTTATACTCTTTAATTAATAAGATTTGGATTTACAAAATAGTGAACTGGTGAATCCATTTGAGTAAAAAGCAAAAATCATGGAACTACATCTTTGATACTTTAAATTAAGCCCCATTTATACGAGCAAATTTTATTTGACAAATTTCATATGTCAAAGATATTTTGCTTGTGTAAATGTACAAATGCATTTGAAGAAAAGCTATAGCATGGCTAGCTTTTGATCAAATGCATTTGATCAAATGAAATTTGTCAAATAAAATTTGCTCGTGTAAACCGGGCTTTTATATATCAACAGTCATTCCTGACAATTTGATAACATTGATTGATACAAACAAAATTATATTAACTTTTACCTATAAAGGCGCGAATTTTCACGCTGAAAGCGTTACTAAATTGCTACATTTTAGTCTCTAATTTAATCACTAATTGCCACACTTTTGAATTCTAATGTTTGGCTTCGCGGATTCGAAACAAAGTCATTGCGTCATTATAATTTGAACAAAATTGTACATCTACCCTTCCAAAAACCACACTATAGTTACATTTAAATACCCATTCACTAAACACTCCGTTTATATTCTTAAATACTTAAAGAAAAGAGCGAGTTTTTTAATCGAAATTTAGGTATGGCGGTTGCGCTTTATATGTCGCAGTCAAAATACAATCGGCTCACATTTTACACAAAAAACCCTCAAAATGGGTTCAAAATGCCAATACTTTTGCGTCTAAATACTACTGCAAATTAAATACCATTTAAAAAAAGCTTTTCCGTACAAATAATTTGATCAAAAACGTTTTCAAAAGACAACATACAATTATAAACGACAACGGAATTCAAAATGGCGCAAGCTTCTTCCCCAAAATTTAAAGCCAGATTCAAACGATTATAAAATAAAATTAAATGATAAAATTCTTCAAAATAGTACGCTTACCATCTTCCAACACATCTGGGTAGAGTTTCGCTCGAATGTCTGTAGTTTCAAGAGCATTTATCTCATCGTTTTCTTTTGTGGCAATGGCTACCGAAGTCGCTGCTCGACACACCAAAGGGATATTATAGCTAGGACTTCGGTTGAATTCGGCTCTACTACTCGTACTAGCCGAATCTAAGTCGGGTATATCACTTATTTGTCGCTTTTTATCATCAGTTAAGGCATTATTTCTGCCAGTTGGAGCCATTTTAAGCCCGTAAGAAAAGTAGAAACTTACTTCCTTGACATGATCGAGGCTTTCCTGAGTCGCTCTACAGACATTCGAAATTATTCCGCATTTGCCCGCGCTTTAGCCTGAAACACCCGCAAATTCTTAAAAATTCAACAACGGATATCTCAAAAATCGATAGCCAATCAGCGCTTTGAGGCCCTTTGACACTGCCCCTTTTAGAATTTTTTAGGTTTATCCTCAATTTTATACACGAACCTAGCAACTGGTATTCTAGGTTAGTGTAATCAAACTATTTCGTTCGCAATGTTGGTTTAAAATTGTAATATTTTGAAAGGAAAAGCAAAAATATTTGTTTGAATAACTGTTCCGGTAGTTTCCGAAGGTAATCCGTCCATAGACGTACAGTAATACGAGGTATTGAAATTGTACGGTTGGATTTCATCTCGATTTCGTCAGCCAACGCGTGTTTTAAATAATCAGGTGATATTTTGATTGACAGCCAGGGGGGGCATAAAAACAGAAGGTGAGAAGGCCTACAGGGGCAGTGACATATTAAAAGAATTTTAATTAGAAGTGTAGAAAATTTTTCTACCAATAACGGTCATTAGTATAATTACATAGGTGATTATTGAAAATTCTCCACGCTGATTGGTTACCGTTGAGGTGATTATTACGCGATAATCACCTAAGCGATTTTCAAAATGGCGGCCGAAGCCGTTTTGTCAATTAAA